GAATGGCATTGGCTGGTCCCATGGAAACTTGTTCTCTGTCGGGGACAGTCCACACCCCGTTGTTGGCGCAGGACCATAGTTCCTGGCCGGCTGGCACTGCGGGCAGCCAGATGGAGCTGCCTGAGACACTGCACATTCATTCATCAAACACTGAGGGTTTGCTCTGAGCCAAGCAGGGCCAGGCTGGGTTACAGGCACAGATAACCATGCAATCCTGCCTTCGAGGGCTTTAGTCCGGGAGAAGGACAAGCCATCCATCAGCTGACACACAGTCACAGTGTATGTCTGTCCAGGGTGCTGCAGGAGCATGGAGGAGCTACGTGGCGGGCCAGCTCTGCCTTCCCAGAGGAGGTGATGTAGGGGGCTGAAGCTCCGAGGTTAAGGAGATGAAGCAGGCCCAGGCAGAGGGAACGTATGGAGCTTGGGAAGGGTGGAGCAGAGTTTGTATGGAAAGGCACTGCCAAAGCCAACGCGACAGAGGTTAGCAAGAGCCAGTCTCGGAGGGGTTTATAGGACATGTAAGGGCTTGGAAGTGATGCTGTAGGTGGTGGGGAACCCCCGGAGGGTTCTCAGCAGGAATGCAGCTGGAACACAGATATGTTCTGGCGGTAGTTTGGACAGTGGCTTAAAGAGAAGCTGCATGAGTGTTTCTTCCATCACAGTCAAGGTTAGCTCGTCCCCTGCAGTTGCTGTTTGATTCTCGGCAAGGATCCCCGTAAGACCTTCTGCGTAGGTGGTTCTAGTTCACCCACAGTCAGCTGACAATGACTTGCTCTGGCCTGAGGTAGGAGAATCTTGAAGGACTGCTCTCTCAAACTCAAGACCACAGCATGGCCAGAGGCCCCATGCTGGGCCACAGCAGAGACACACAGATGGCAGCAACTTCACCTTGTCTTTACCTTCTAAATGGAAACATCATGGTGGCTGTGGTGAGGTTTCACAAATCACATCCATCAACTAGGAAATGCTTAAGCAATGAATGGCGTTCTCTTCGAAATTGCAAATTTCCATTCAGAGACGTTTGGGGTTTGCTGTTGTCATCTTAGTGTGCCTTCCCCAGGGTTCAGGCTAACTGAGTCCTGGGGACTTCACTCTGTCTTGTTCCATCTGGGTCATACTATATTTATGGCTCATGTATTTTACAATTCATCAGGCGTCTCCCGTTCCTTGGCTGACTTGCTCCACAAGCCTCCCTGACTTGTCCGTGACATAGTCTGGTAGGGCACAGATGCTGGAGACTGTCCCCTTTGTGATATAGTAAAGAAAGAAACAAAAAGGCTGTTCTTTCTCAGAAATTACTGGGTCCTCATGGGAATATTGAAGGCACTAATTAATTGCTACTCTTCTAAAAATTGTTGAGTATTTGGATGCGGAAGCTTGAGACAATACAGCCACACTTAACTCTAGGTTGTTTTTTTGTTTTTTGTTTTTTAAGAAACGGAAAAACTAGACAAAGTGTCTCAGAAAGTAGGGATGGAACAAAAGGAGCTAATTCCATCAGTGAGGGGGGCAGTGTTTCCTCTGATTTTTTCCTTCTTTGTGTAGATGGCTTCTCTGTTGTGCGTAAGCACAGACGAGTTGCCAAATTTCTATTGTTGTCGAAGGCAGTGACTCACCCAGCCTGTGAGAAGCGCAAGGATCTAATGGGTGTGTTTAAAGATGTGAGTCAGAATCAATAACAAGCCGATAGAGCTTCAAGGCTATGGTGGATATCCACTTCATTTATGACATTAGATCTTTTTCTTGCCCCCCTTCTCCCCCCGCAATCTAGTTTGGTGCTTCAAGTAACTTCTTTGAAATTCATTCCGTCATCAAATGGTTTTTAAAGGCCTGCCATGTGTCTGTCACATCCTGTTGCAGAATTACAAAATTTTGTATCTGAATTTATGTCTGTAGCTTGATCTGGTGCCTGAGGACTCTTAGCCGACTCTTTCTATTAACAGCTTGATGTTTATCAACCACGAGTAATAATAATACTGCCAGTCTCAGTTGTCTGGTACCTGGGCATTTGCGAAGCATTTTGACACACACATATGCTTGTTACTTACATGAGCCCTGAGAGCTTATCAGAGAAGGCATTTAGTTCCTAAACTTGAGGCACATAGACTGTACCGTAGAGGCATGGCGGTTTATATTTTCTCCTTATTCACTTTGGAGACCTCTGCTTAGAGGAGGTCTCCAATCTGTGGCTCCTCCTTTAATGTTGACAGAGCAAACCATGCACCTTGCAAAAGAGGTTTCCCAGTCATTAGAAGCATTTTACTTTCTTACTGGGAGATAATACCAAAAAGGATTGTACCAAGATTGATAAGATGATGCTGATGGTGATGATTAAATAATTTGATTATACCTGTTACTCTTTCATTTAGAGCAGCGATTCTCAACCTGTGGGTCGCAACCCCTTTGGGGGTTGAACGACCCTTTCACAGGGGTCGCCTAAGACCATCGGAAAACAAAAAGATATTTACATGACGATTCAGAACAGTAGCAAAATGACAGTTATAGAGTAGCAACGAAAATAATTTTATGGTTGGGGGTCACCACAACATGAGGAACTGTATTAAGGGGGTCGCGGCATTACGAAGGTTGAGAACCGGCTGATTTAGAGGCACCTTGTTTATGGAGCTAAAATGAGGTGCAGCTGGGCAAAAGCAGCCACATGGGTGAGAGGTACAGCCTCTTTGCTATAAAATAGAAGAAGGACTCTTTTGAAAGGAGGGGGACAAGGGGGACCAGCATGATGCTTATATCATAGGCACAATCCCAGGAAAATCACGTGTAGGTGAGAGCAGATGCAGAGGTTGTTTATCTGGAATTGGATTCCCTTGAAAGGGCTTCATGCCTCTAAGAAAGTGTGTATCCCCAGAGATTTGGGGAACCCACTTGAATTTCACTGTGCTAATCCACAATCTCATGGATGAAGAAATAAACGTATCCTGGGTGGCTGTGGGGGATGGGGGGAGCCATGGAGTGGCAGGTTTTTCGAAACAACATTCCTGAGCCGAGGGGTGTGTCCAGTCACAAACTGCCTCTGTGGCGGAGTAGCCTGCTCTTGTAACAAGATATCGCCAATTTAGAAAATATAGGCTCGCCAGTCTTGGCCTTTTGTTTCCAAGCAACAGCTTTGTAAACTATGCTTACTGTAAGTTTTGTCTCCCTCTGCTGGTAGGAGTCATTGTTGCAGACCACTTTCTTGCCCATTGATTGTATACTTTTAGCGCTAAAAAGATGTTAGAGATCACAAAACTAAGCCATGGGCATTTTCACTCATCTGTGCATGCAGTTAGCACAAATATGACAAAACCTTTTGCTTCTACACAGTCTCTTGTCTAAAATAGCTCCTTACATGGGTTTGTCTTGTGTCTTTTGACTGATAGGGCTATAGGTGTGGAGCACAGCCTGACTAGGAGGGCTTGGGTTGGCACGTGGCCTTCCTGCTGGGGAGACCCTGCAGTTCATTTTCCTATACTTTGCAAGCTCAAATTAAGGAAACTGTTAATATCCACCCCTGTCATCAAAAGTTGTGTCCCACCTTCATTGTCCACGTTTCCATGTGCTTCGAGCGTCTTTCCTGTCTTTGCACAGGCCCAGACGCCGAGACCTGGACCCGGGGGTTGCAGGCTCACTGGGTCTTGGCTGTGGGGTTGGGGTTGGCACCTTGTACCCCCACGTAGGACCCCTTCGTCTGCCAGTGTGAGAGGTGGGCTTCTTCGAAGACCCCTTTCTCCTACATCTTTGTGCCCCCGTTACTTCTGTTGGCCACTCCTTTCTAAAAGAAATGTTTTATTCCCTTGGCATTGAACTTTCCGGGCTCTTTTTTGAAGTCCCCTTCTATATTTTTCCTGGCTTCCTTTTTGCCCTCCGAGCCCCAAACGATTAGATGTTCTCCAACAGTTTATTTGTAGGCTGTTTTCATCTTTAAAAATCTCGGCCTCCCTCCGTGTCACCTTCTATACAGATGCTCTCAAAGTCACGCCTCCAGCCTGAAAGTTCCCCCAAGCTATTGTCCTGTGACTCAAGCTACGTGGAGCTACTTTTCTTTGGAGCTTTTTTTTTTGTCATCTCAAACTAAGCATGTTTAAAGCGAAAGCTGTCTTTTTATCTCCTCAAGTCATTATTCCTTCATGACTCACCTCTTTAACTTAATGTGACTTCCACTGATCAGCTCTCCCTGCCTGTAACTGCCAGTCATTGCTGGCTTCTTTCTCTCCTTTGCCTCTCGTGTCTATTTGGCTTCCAGGTCCCTCTTGCCTGGTCTCTGGAGAGCTGTTCATTCCTTCCCATTATCATTGCTAAGATTTTGGTCTCAGGCCTTTGTCATTTCATGCATGTGGCAGTGTTGGGCCGTCTTCCTGGTCCCTTTGTGTCCTGTCTGCTTGGATTTTAGAAATCTGCCTCTTTGGAAATAGTTAATGGTTTTCTGCTGTAGAAGCTAGCATTTGGAGTTGTGCACAGATAGGCCGGCCTTGTCTCACTCCCCTACAGTCTGACCCTTTGAGTGCAGCTAATCAGATCTCTACCCTGTGTCCTCTGGTCCCTGGCAGGATCTAGAACACACCCGGTGTAGCTGTCTCTTTTTATTTCCAAATTCTGCCTATCTTCCGAGTCCTGGCACAAGTCCCCATTTCTCTATAAAGAATATTGTGCCCCTGTCACTCTTCTGCAAATACGTAGCACACACATGGTTATGCTACTAGGGCAGCGGGTCACGCATTGTTTTGTGATGTCTTTTGTGTTACGGTCTAGCTGTTTCACCCTTGGACTCCTCTTTCATCTTTCCCAAGTGTCTGTCTTTTCTGCAAACTCTAGGTAGAAATGGCACCGTGCACACACTTGACATTGGAGAGATGCTTGTTGAATTAGATTGGTGGGATGGCGGGCACAATCTTGAAGTCAGACGTTGGCATTCACAATCTTGCCAGCCCTCACAATCTCTTTGACGGTCCTCAGATTTCAGATGGTCTCATGTGTGCGTGCGCGCGCGCGCGTGTGTGTTTTAGTTGCAGATCCCCAGTGTGAAGGGCTTTGATTTTGCCAAGCAGCATCTGGGTCAGCACAATAAAGACGACATATTGATTATTCATGAGCCAGCACCACTGCCGGGACCTGTGAAGGACCACACCACTCCTTCTGAGAACGGAGATGTGCCGAGCCCCAAGGCCAAGGTCCCCGCCAAGAACATCCGTCACAGAGGAAGGTGCGTGTTGGGTTTTCTGTATTGCACTGTATCGCAGAGCATGATTCCGTTTTCAGTTGGTCCATTTCTTGTATCAGAAGGGCTGACGGTGAATATCGCCCGAGTCTGCAGCCTAGGAGACTGACCACAGCTTACCCACAGTCATCGAACCTGAGGGTTCTTGAACCAGTCTAATGGACTCCCAGAGGAGGCTGCCTGCCTTCTTTCCCAGAAGCATTTAAGGTTATGAGTCACTGTCTGCTGTGGTTTGGTGGACCCCTGGGACCTGATCAGGGATTGACCAGCTCGAGTGTATATATTCTGGAGAGAGCATGCTCGTCCCACTGGAGATGATATCAGAAGTAATGTCTACAAAGTGCATGGCACGTGATACACACCCAGGATTGGCTTTGTCCTGGCCCATTATGCCAGCGGCTAGCTGTGACTTCATCGCGCTCTCTGCAGGGGACCTTCATCACACCCTTCTGTCTTTGCTTGATTTTTCTCTGACTGCCTGTGTTGTCACCCTCGTTAGTGTGTTTGCATGGACTCGTCACCGCCTCCTCTCTGCCCAGCTCCCCAGTCCCAATTTATTTCCATCCCTCCTTTCAAAGGGAAACACGTGGCTATGTGCTTGTTAACCCACTCCCTGGAAGTCCCCCATTACCCTCTGGTTCTGTGCGAAGGGCTCCGGCTCTGTGCAAGAAGACGGAGTTCAGAATCAGGCTTTATTAAGTTGACTTGAGATCAGAGCCCGGTCAAGCTTTGGCTATCGAAGCCTCAAATTATCAGCCTGCCTTTGAGCTCGGAAAACTCCTAATCCTGATTTTCTGCTAAGAGGGACAAAGCGTGTGATCATACCAACATTTGAAATGGTGTTATAATTTCTGACTTCTCAGAAAAACCTACCCTGGGGGGTTCTGGCCTAGTTTTAAGAATTGAAGGGATGTTAGAACACGATCTTTACAAAAGAAACTGAATTACGTAGCGAGTTGTTATTTGTTTAATTGTCTTGCAGGCTGAGACTAAATCAGATCCTTAAGGATTATTTAATATGCCAGTATGATTGAGCAGAGGCTGTTTTCCCTCTCCTTGTAGTCTCATCCTAAACATCTCAACAGCCTCCATGGTTAATATTTTAGCATCCCACATGGGCACCAGAACGTGTTAGCATTGCATGTTGCCAGGGAGTGTAAAGAGAAGGGGTGCTAACCGGTGAAGGGTTTTTTACTAGCCTGGTGCCACCTGGCTTGCGTGATACCCTTGCTTTTTATGTGTAGCATCAAATCTCAGTGGTGATCACTGCCTTTGGGTTGGAAGTGTAGGCCTATTCCAAAGACCTGGAGTTCTAGGAGGTGACTGTAGAACGTCCCTGGCTTCTAAGGGATCCTGCAGACCCAGTTCACCCGGAGCCAGGCCTGAACTCCAGATCCTCTGACCCAATCCACGCCTGACCCAGAATGTCAGTCCAGGGCTCCTGAGGGACTGTCCTCCAATCTGGCACCTAGTTTTTTAGCATTTGTGGAAAGGCAGCCTGCTGAGCCATTTCATACGCTGTGTGTACTGTCTTTAAGAAATAACTATATGCTATTAATGTGGCCCTTGATACCGTGCCACGAAAGAATGCTTTGGACTGTCAGTTCTACCGGTTTTGCCTGGGAGCCTGACTTTCACATCCAAATCAATGTGACCTTTCCCCCTCCCCTTTTCTTTCTTTTTCCTAATGTTTACATTTGTTTTGTGTCTGCAGAGTTTCGCCCTCAGATGCTGACTCAACAGTCAGTGAGGAGTCCAGTGAGAGGGAAACAGGAGACAAGACGCCAGGAGCGGCGAATGACGGTAAGTCCCCTGGAGCCCCACAGAGCGGTCTGGACTCTTGTCGCTCTCCACGTTAGAAGTAGGAATTATGAGGTTCCAATAGGCGAGGGTTTTATAGTCTTCAAATGCTGAACTTAACGGCAACAAAAAAGCCTGTGCAATGGAATATTCATCCCTTCGTATGCTGAAGGTCTCAGCATTGACTGCCCCCATCTAACATTGTACTGGTGTCAGCATGGAGGCGGGGGACCGTGCTCGAAGTTAGAGATTCCCAGAGGTATGTTTTGAGGTTAATAGCCGCGTTCCATTCTAGTTTATAGAATCCTGATGATTTTCCTCCCCGAAGGACAAGGAGGTATCGAACTCAAACCAGAGTCTCAAAACTGCCTCCAGGATTTAGTGACCTTATAGCATTCAAGTATTTCACAGCAGTCACTGTCAGAAAGTTGTGTATTTATCGTACATCCAAGGGTGTTTTGTGTGGTCCCATATTCTTCTTTCAGCAGATGGTTCCGTGTGATCAGGTGGTTTGGCCTATTTGTATTTGTACTCAGATGCTCTAGCTTCTTAGGCCAGGTCCAAAATGAACTTCACTCCCATCCTACAGGGTGTGAGCATGAAACTCATGCCTTTAAGAACACAAGGCCCACAGGTCTTACTACACTTAGGAGCACTTGTTTTTTTGTTTTTTGTTTTTGGCATGATGACAAGGTAGCTTGGTTTTAGTTTCGTAGGTTCTGTTAAATAAATGTGCTAGTGCAGCTGTTGCATTTGCTGGAGCTCTATTTATAGTTCAGGATTGTGTTTCAGTAATGCAAAGAAAATTGGGATGTCTGAGGATATTGTTTTTACTAGTCATGTTTATACTTGAATTTTTCATCAAAAGTTTCTCCATATGAAAATGCAATACAGAGAGAACCCTATACTATAAAGGAACAGATTGTGGACAGAAGCAAGAGAGAGCCTGTTCTATTATTGTCGTGTTTCTGATCTTGCAAGTATAATAACCCCAATTGGCTCTTTGGGGCTGCTGTGGGACTAAGCTGGTTTCTGAGATTCCATCCAACTCTTTCCGGTTGTTTTATTTTTGATGTTAAAGAAATACCCCCCTTTGACTAAGGGAAGATTTTTTTTCTTTGGATCCAATTCCACAGAATCTTAAAAAATTACTTAGCACCATGGTAATAGGTACACTGTTTCAGATAGGGGTAAAATCTAATTTTGATTCCGGGAAAGAAATATTTGGGGGAAAAAAAGAATCAGCGCTGGAGTTTCTCGATTTTTATTTCTTGAGAAAATCTTGCTCTTAGTTCCTGTATTTAACTCCTTACTGAAAGAATTATAACCAGGATATTCTACATGTCTGACAAAAATCACGTATGACTCTCAACATATATTCAAAACCCCAGTAGTAAGCATGTCAGCTTTGGGACTGAGAGGTGACGGTGGACAGAGACAAATGGACTCGATATTCTTGTGAGTTTTAGAAGCTCAGATGTCGCTGTTAGGAAGAGACGCCAGAATCTGTACATTATTTTCATGTTTTAGAATGATGGGTTTCTCACTACGAATATCAGTTCACTTTTAAAACTTTGTTTACTTCTTTTAAGCTATCATGCTGCATACAGGCATTTTATTGCTTGCATAGAACTCAGTTAAATATCCTATAAAAAAGAATTCTGAATTCATAATCATAGTTTATGAATTATTTCGTAATTTACATAAAAATCCTCCTTTTGTTGCATGTCATGGAGAAATACAAATTAATGGAGGCAGGAGTTTAAGAACCATTCTGGGACCCTCTTCCAGGTTGTCCTGGGGCCAGGGTTCCCTCTAACCACTGCTGATGGCACAGCCTCTGGATCTCTTGAGACTCCTTAGCAAGGCTTTCGATGGCTGTCACAAGTCATCTGGCTTTTTTCAGGACCCACCTTGCAATGGAAGCAGAGAAAAGACGATCGATTTGGTTTTGGTCAATTCGAGGTTGTGCTTTATTTCCTTCTGAGCTGACCGTTTTGGAAGGTGGCTAGACCATGATGCATCCCTTGTGACCATCCACGGACCCTTTTGAGATGATTTACTCAAATGCCACTGTGTTTA